ACGGACAGACGGACAGACGGACAGACAGACGGACAGGGCCAAATCAACTCAGCTCGTCATCCTGATCAAGAATATATATACTTTGTGGGGTCTGCCACGCCTCCTTCTCCCTGTTACATACATTTCAACAAAACCATTATACCCTGATTTCCCATTGAAAATGGGTTCAGGGTATAAATATAGCTAATTTAGTTAGTTCTCGTACATCTCAGATTTCTTCCAGCGCAGTCGCTGCATTAAATAAATCATAAACTGTTAAAAATGAGCTCTACCCAAGGTTCCAGGTATCTACAATTCGGCCATGCTCGACTTGTTAAGTTCCACTTGCGTATACGCTCTTATGCAAACTATTCTAAGAATCAATACCCATTCACATATATTACAGAAACATCAAGAATGGCTAAATCGACATAAACTCAGAGCGGAAAAAGTCAAATATACGAAATGGAAATCATCTTTTGAGCCAGCTAAACTGTGGCGCATAAACAAAGAACCTTCAGCAAATCAGAATTCGAGCATCAATGAGGTATTCACGGAAAACGAAACCAGCTCTATCAATAGCAATGTGATTGGCGATGCCAACATCGACGTGTCGCCCACCATCTTTACCCAAACGCCTCGCCTACGCAGCCTCGACTCTCATGAAGTATTAAATAATACCAACTCAACTGAAATATCGAAAATATGGACGACTGTAGCGCCTACTTTGGCAACTAAATCCTTGGTAGCCGACGAACCCGACGTTTTGACAACGGCATTGACATTGCCGAAGTTGAAAGATGTTCCATCAACTGCCTCAACGACTACGACTACGACCTCCAGAAGGCCCAAGCCCAAGCTTAGACCCTTTCCTCGCTGGACCAATTGGAATCCATGGAGCGAATGCTCGCGCAGCTGTGGAGGCGGCGTTATGTACCAGACTCGCAAGTGCATTGATCGGTAAGTGTTTCAGATATATTTGCATATACATATATCAAATAAAAATATTGATCTCAATGCGACATTAGACTCAACCTTGCTCTGTCTCTGATGGCAGAGTTAAGAACAGATCATGAAACAAATGATCGAATGATTCGATTAAAGTAATTAAATATGATTATGAATATACCATTGCTATTATGATTTAGTAAATAAGCAAACAAAAAATATTTTTTTGTAAGATAAATAAAATAAAGAATTGAGTGAAACCTGTTACATATGTAGAATTTCTAAATCTGCTCTGCTTTCTATTCAGTTTGTTTTACCACGGAAGAATTAAATTAGGTCGTCAGAAGTTGGGCCTAAAATTAACATTTTGCGCTCAGTGTATGTTTTTCATTGCGGTTTTGCTTACAAAAGTTCATAGATTAAATTAATTTGTATTCAAAGGAAAATTAATATTTTCACAGTGTTTGTTCAAGCATGATATTTTTTAACAAGTTATATTACTTATATATATTGTTTTTTAATTTATAAATTAATCAAGGTTTTAATCTCTCCTTCTTCTTCGATTGTATATATTTTTCGATGTTGGCATATATATTTTTTTCATTATGTTAATTTCAATTTATTTTAATTATACAGATATTATTATTTTCAGGGTATTATTTTACACTGATCCATCAAAATACGATCAATTGATTTCAAGCAAATTAATGTTATATTCAAACTGAATATTTTCTTTTCGCTTTTACTATTGTTTTTTTATTGATAATTTCTTTAAGTGTATATTGTTAATAGAGTCATTCGAGCCACTCATTTTTAGTACTATCGAGTGTATATCATTTTCCGTGCAGCACGAAGAGATTCGTTCTTTGATTAGCAATTCAAATTTAATGGCGTCTTTATTAATGCTCGATCAAAATGACCTCTAATAGCTGAACATAAGGTAAATCGGATAATTAAAAGATATTTCGGAGGCCTGTCACGTGCCAGAGATTGTGTTATCCAGATCTGCGTGCGATTCGGAACGTTCTCCAAAGACAATGAAGTTATTATGTAACCAATTACAATATTGCACTTGTCTACATATCTACCTACTATATAGAGGTACATATACCTATACCTATATAAAGGTACATATATACAGAAATATATGTATATACATCGACTTTTGCTTGTAAATGGAAGTACTTGAAGCTACTTCCAGGTTGAAGTAAAGTATTACTTCGAAGAGTAGTCGTCTGTTGATTCTTAGTCATCCCTTTTGAACCAAAAACTGGTTTCTAGCTCAAGCTTTGGGGTTTTTTTGTGGTTCAGCTTTGTATGCGTCTAGCGTCATTTTGGCTGAAAAGTAATTCATGCTAATTGTTTTGTCAACATTTAAGAGAGATATATATGCCGCATATGGTGTGAGTCGATGCATAGACACTGGAGATATTACTCTATTGTCGTATATTTTTGCATATATTGCAAATATCTGAAATCGATTTTATTTTCTTTTGCTTTCATTTATTATTCTTTCTTTGTTTAATATTCCGTGCGGGGTGCAGGCACTTTGAGGGCTGTGTAGGGTATCTTGTGGTTGGGCAAAGCTGCTTTGCCTTTTAGTTTCGCTTGTATTTTTCCATCTCATGTACATAAATAATCAATTTTGGGTTGTTTTTTCTTTTCGATTTTTATTTAGCCAAGTCTTAAATAGTTAATTATTGACTTAACTAATCCACTTTGTGAGCAAACATTAATTCCGTTCGACGTGGCTCGTAAATTCAAGAAACAAAATTCAGAAAAAAAAAAAAAACGAAACGAGAGAATCGTATCACGGAAACCTGTATATGGTATTAGATATATAGAAATTGTATATATTTGCCGTTATTTATAATATGTCTTCGCTGTTCCCTTGATCGGGGGAATCACTGAATATTTAAACACTGCCCTAATACATATTCTTGAATATCGTATTTAGAATCTATGCCTTATATGTATGTCGGGTATGTCTACTGCTCTGAGTATCTATGATAATGCCAAAAATACATATATTTGAATATTTGATGTGCATTTCAATACAGGGTATCCGCCAGTCATGTAATCTTGAGCACGACTCGGCCGTATGTCTCTCTCGACGTTTTGGACTTGTTTTCAGCTAAAGAGAAATCCCAACAAGTTGAGAAAAGCAATAACAACAAGGCTCGATCTGAACAATGCCAGACTTTGTACGCTTGTTTTGATGACCGACTAAAAAAAAAAAATAATAATAAAAAACCTCAAAGCTGAGAACAGATTTTTGCTATAAATACGAGATGTGAGTTTTGAAAAGCCTGAGTTTCCGGCAATCAACTCATTGGAGCTGTTGTGCATTTAACATTTTTATATCAGAATGTCCAGACTACTGACCATTTGCCTTCTGTCTCTGGCACTCGCTGTGCAGGTAGGTCTAGCAGAATGAGAGCGTGGCTGTCCACAGAGGTGTAATGCCGAGGACTATTTTTAGTGTGTGCTGTCGGAGAATCCTGCCGAGGGCTTGAACACCCATATTCGCGGGCAGCTGCAGCAGTATGAGAAGTACCTCGCCAACGACGATGGCTCCCACAAGGAGGATCTGCAGAAGCTGATCGGCATCTACGAAACCGCCCTGAAGACCGAGGACTTCAACGCCAAGCAGACTCTGGTGAACGAAGTGCCGTCGAAATTCTCCCCAGAGTTCGGCCAATTCGTGCAATCCAAATTGCAGGAAGATCAGATCAATCATGATATTTCGGGTGCCATCAGCTTCTACAAGTCGCTCCTGGCCAAGGGTGACTTCAAGGCTGACATTGAGAAGGCGTTGGTCGAGCTCGAGAACCTGCAGAAGCAAACCCAATTCGAGGCTAAGAGGGATGGTTTCCTGAACCTGGAGAAGGGCTTCAGTCCCGAATTCGTCAACTTCCTTAAGAGCGACGCTCTTCCCCAGATCAACAACGACCTGAAGAGCGGCGTTGAGTTCTTCGAGAAGGTTTTGGCCGAGTCCGATGTGAAGTACGCCTCCGAGATTAAAGGCCTGAAGGCTCAAGCTGAAGCAGCTCTGGCCGATTCCGTTCCCATCGATGATAAGCAGAAGACACTCTTCGAAATCAGAAATCCTGATAACGCCGATCTGATCGAATACCTCAAAGCGAAATTCGCTGAACTGAACTAAGAATTAAAATTCTCTCTCATTTTTAAAAAGCATTGAAATTATTTAGGCTGCAGCTTGATTTTCATTTTATTTAAATAAAATAAAAAAAAAAAAAAAATCAAAATTAAGTTTTTTATTAGTATATTTTAATTATGTTAAGTAGTTTTTCTGTTGGGCTTGGCCAATAGTTGCAAGACTTCTAGAAAAGTTCTTCATAACTGGTTTATAAATAATTCTTATTGCTTATAATTAACTTAAGGCTAGTCAAAAATCTAGAAGCTGAGATAATGAGAAAATATTATCATATTTTTGTATATATATTATTGTTATATGCATATGAGTTTAATTGTTTTATTTTATTTACTTTAAGCTGTTAGGTTTTCAGAAAGTTATTATATTATGGATAGAAAAGACATGGAATATAATACATATAGGATAAATATATATATTCATATATAGATTTTTTTCCGTGTAGATTTTCTTATTAGAATAGAAATTTCGAGAGGAAAACTACTCAATTATGTTGCTATTTAGGAATAAATTTGAATAATATATGAATTTAATATATTTTTCATTATTTTAAGTTTTTTGTTTCAAGCTTAGAAGAACATTTTTATTCATAAAAATACAAAAAGAAAACAAGACTATTGTACAATAGTCTAGATATTACCCATATTTATTGTATTTAGGCATGGAATCGATGAGTTATATTTCAACATTGTGTTTAACATTTTTTAAATTTAAGAGTACTGGACACATTGTCCTTATCTACTTAAATATAGTTATACTTTTATAATATGCAAATTGATTCGTTAGAGTTTAACATGCATATAGGGAACAAATTTATATAAAAACAAGTAAGAACGTTGCAGTCGGGCGATACCGATTGCAGAAGACTCATTCACAGCCCAAACGCTGTCAACCAGAGTATATAGTGCAATTTTCAAGTCTAGTGCGCAACAAAAAACAGGGCATGATCCCATTTAAAATGGGAAAATCATCGATAGCTATTGCTATGATCATTGCATAATTGCATTCAAATTACATGCATATGTATATAATTTATACAATTTTGACTTTTAATAATATACATGTATTTATATCCATATATTGGATACCGNCCCCTAGTGGGCGGATCGGGAAAATTTTAACACTTTATAAATCGGAGATATACACGAGTATGTGTTCCAAATTTCAAGTCTCTAGCTTCAATAGCGCCGAAATAGATTGCGTTCATACGGACAGACGGACAGACGGACAGACGGACAGACGGACGGACAGCAAGACGGACATTGCACAAAACCAATATACTCATTTCACTTTCGTGAATGAGTCTAATCACATAAAAATAACTTGACTTAAAAACTAGCACTTAAATTAAACTTATGTATGTAAGATAATATTATTAATGTGTGGGTAAATGGAACCTGAACATCTATTTATGAAGTAGAATGCAGCTTCTCGCTTCTACTTGATGCTTTGCTTTCAAATATAACTCCGTAGTGGAGTATATTTCAAATGAATATTAAATAACACGTCCTGAACTGTATGCCATAGTTCTGGTGTGATACATTTTTTTTTCTGATTTAAGTGCCACTTTGAAATACACTGCGCATCTCATTAGTTTGTTAACACAAAAAGTACCGTTATATTTGGTATATGTTTTTATGAACCGGTTACATAGTCTTACACAAAATCGGTATTCCCTCCATATTCACTTTTAAAGCGTACCCTGACACGCTTTAAAAATGGACAAACGAAATAGTGTAGACTGAGACTACTATAATATCTTAATAGGCGGTGCAGGGGACTTTACAAGCTGCTATTATAATAATTAATGTTTTATCTCACACCTAACTTAATATTTTGCAGAAATTCTACGACGAGTAGAGTATATATGAGTGATACTTGTGTGGGTCTCTCGAAACGCTATCAGCTATGCAATGACCTTGCCTGTCCCGCGGAATCAATGGATATTCGTGCATATCAATGTGCTGCATACAATAAAGTTGACTTTCAGGGTCGCCAATACAACTGGGAGCCCTACATCAAAGGTAGGGAATACACACTCACTTACAATATATGTATACATGTGGGGAATCCGTTTGTAATTGAGTTTCGCTTTCTTCATCAGACGATGCCGAGTGCGAGCTGAACTGCAAGCCATTGGGCATGAAGTACTTCGCGACACTCAATGATTCGGTTATTGATGGCACCCCCTGCCAGAGGCCCGCTGAATATTATCGCTCCAATCGGTCCACTCCACTGGGTCGGGCAATATGTGTCGACGGCATTTGCAAGGTGAATGTTAATACCCCTCGCTCGCCTAATCAAACTAACAATAACAATTATAACTGATTGCAGATAAAACACGCTATCAGCTCGCACAGTAGTTCCATTAATTAACAACTAGTCACAATTTATGCTCGTTCCATTAATCTCTTAGCTGTGTTTCCAATTTATTAAGGCCATGTTAATGCAAATGAGCACACGACTCTGATTAGATATTCGTAGCAGTCTCAATTACAATGAATACCTGCTCTTCTTCAATATACGTATTACCCGCGAATAGCTCAGCTTCTTGCTGGAGTGTACAAAGAAAAAAGCGAGAGCTTATTTCTCTATGTGTGTCTCTGTGTGTATCACTCAGATACCAAGAGCTATCCATAAACAGCAAGCTGTCGGGTAGAGGCGGCTTTGTCATGCTCGTTCGCTTTCAATAGAAATATCACTGCATATGCCTGTACAGGTTTAGCTGTAGAGAAGTGATCTGCCTTGGTGATATTTCTCTGGGCGTGGCATATGTAATATATTATATTATGTGTATTCTATATGTCAAAGATGGTATATCAAATTCTATATATCGGATTCTATTCATCAGGTTCTATATATCTGATTTTAAATCAAATTTGATATAATAGGTTCTATATTGCACTGCATTTCTGGGTAATATGGACTTACATTTGACTGCTTATTGTTGACCTCTGGTTTTTTAAAGTATTTTTTTTTTTTCTTAATTTGATTTAATGCTGTAATTTCCGAATGATATGCCATGAGTTCATTCGGAAATCAGGATATTGAGTATTCTAATTACGAGTATTTGGCAAATACGGGAGATAAGTCAGCAGTTCAATAAGACTCACCCCTCAACGTATAAGGTCTCGCTACGCCACTGATATGAATCTAATTAGTTTCAAGTCTATCAAAAGAGCTATTAGCTTGGTTAAGCAACCCACTTACCTCTAATAGCTATAACTATATAATCATTTATAACCATACACTAAACATTATGATCATGATAATCATTTCTATTTAGGACCGAAATGGGCCAGCTATTTATTTCTCATTAAAAGCATCGTTTAGAATTGAAAGTATTTAGTAATTAGCATTTGCCATAGCCCCAAGGAGTTCTAGATCTGCGAACTCAATCAGATGTGATTTCATACCATCACAATAAAGGAATTTAACAAGCTGTTCATCAATTTTCCCATCTAGAATTAGATATGGCGAAGACCAATATACTCTCCTCACTGCGTGAGCGGGCAAAAAGCGTTTGTCGATTGTGGCTGTGGTGCACACACACTTCGAGTTATGAAAAACTCTTTAGAAATAAATGAATCGCCTTGCCGAATATTTTAGTAAGCGGCGCGAATCGAAGCACGCAACACATGCGTATTCGTATCTATAAGAATCGCGCATCGTTTAATCGTTTAAGAACAATCAAAGGAAATCAAAAGCCAGTTAAACAATTCAACACAAAAAATAACAATCGAAAATATATAAAAACCGACCTGAAATCAAATATCAATTATAAACTAATTTGTTAATAATAATGTTGATATCCTAATTGAATAATCATGTCAGCTAAATTAGTCAACTTTAAATGTTTTTTAAATATACAATTAAAACAAAATATTATGAATATTAGTTGAACTAAAGTTTTCTTAGGACACTAGTCAAATACATTAAAATTAGTATATATTAGTATATATATATTTTTAGCAAGTTGCGAATTAATATTTAAATTATTTCTTAAGTGTCTCCTAAATATTTTATTAA